GGCAACTTAGTAAGATCCCATCTCAATAAATAAATAGGTAAATAATAAACAAATGTCTGGGGATGTAAATCAGTGGTAGACCACCTCAAAAAAAAAAAAAGGTAGCCCTCTGTTTCCACTCTTAATCTCACAAAGGTTCATTCCCTCAGTAATATTGCTTCTATCTACCTAGTTGCACAGGCAAGAACCCTGGAAGTCACCTGGGTCTCTCTACCTTGCTCCCCAAACATCCAATCCAAAAACCAACTTTGTCCATTGTGGCTTTAAATCTCTCTCTACTCCACCTACTTCTCCACATTCTCCATTTGCAGTACCAGAGTTCCAGCCAAAGAATTGCCCTTTGTCTTGAGCACAGTGGGCAGAACATCTGGATTCTACTTCAAGTTCTCACTTCCTTCCCTGGGTCTAGGATGACATCTTCAAAGTGTGGGTACAGGCATGCCCTTTAATCCAGAAAGTATTCTGGTGGCTAGAATTGAGAATGCTGGCCTTCTAGTCTTTCCCTCACCCCTTCTCCCAGTTTGGTTTCTCCTGATGTAGTCTTGCCTCTACAACAGTACAGTTCCAGCCACAGCTCTAACATATAAGTCTCATGATATCCTCCTTTTCCATAAAATTCTTCAGTGGCTTCAGGAAACTATCTTCAGAAAACTTCTAGATTCTTTAATTTTTCTTGAATGCCCTTCTTGCTCTAGAGCGACCAAACCTTTGCATATGCTGTACTTGTGCCTAGAACACCCTCTTGTCCTCTATCCCCCTTCACCCTACTGGTCCTTCAGGTCTCAGCTTTTTAGGGAAGTGTCCTTTGAGGGCTATCTCTCCTCTGGGGCTAGTTACCACGGATCTGTGCTTTATATGTACTTCTCACATTTTAGGAATTAACACAACGTTTTGTAATTGTCTGTTTCTTGATTCTCTATCTTACCGGACAGTACCATCATCCACTTGTTTATTTCTTTACTAACTGAACAAGTATGTATTGAGTAATTGTTAACCATGTCGTTGTTACGTACATGCATACACGGTCCAGACTCAGACCTTGCCCTTGACACCAAGCAGTGCTTTTTCTTCTCTGGGGTCTCGGGTCTAACAGGTTTAGGTTTGAACCAGCAAAGGAAGGAACGAAGGAACCCGGGAACAGTGTGCCGTGCAGCCTTCTGGGAACCGTAGTCCCCTGGTACGGGTCTCTCTGTAGAGCGTACTCAGGGTGAGGCTTATTGCTGCTAACGCGCATGTCCGGGAGGCGGTGTGGGTGAACTGCGCATGTCTGAAGGGAGGGGCCGATGCCGGCTCGACGTCGCGCTGCGGGGGCGGGGCTGCCTTGACTTCTGGCGCTCCAGGACAGCTCTACCTACCTGTGGGGATGGCGGGGAGAGGGAAATTAATCGCGGTGATTGGTGACGAGGACACGGTGACTGGCTTCCTACTGGGCGGCATAGGGGAGCTTAACAAGAACCGCCATCCTAATTTCCTGGTGGTGGAGAAGGATACAACTATCAATGAGATTGAAGATACTTTCCGGTACGGTACCCTGCGAGGCCGAGCTGGCCCGTCTGCTGCTGGTGCGGGGTCTGGGGAGAGGGCGGAGGCGGCCGGGGACCGAGCTGTCAGACCCTGTTGGGAATGTGGGTCACTCCTCCCGGAGCAGAAGCCTCTGCGCCCCAAGTCCTCTTTGGGAACTCGGTATGAGCGGGGCTCTCAGGTCACCGAGTTCCCCCTCACATGACCGTGTGTCAGGAAAGAGGAGGAACAGTTTATGACCTGCCCCTGCCATAGCTGGACGTCTGGAAGCCCAGCCGGTGGCGACCGCCAGCCTCAGCGCCTCTTCCGGGGTCTCAGACTTTCACTTAGGGCCTTGCAATACTCCAACCGTACGCTCGCTGAGAGCCTAGGGAGTGGGTTTGCGCTTTCTTGTACAGTCATCTCCCTTTGAGGCTCATAATCGTCCTGTAAGGAAGGGGTTATTCATAATGGTAAGTGAGAAAATTGCAGCTTAGAGAAGTTAAGCACATGCCCAAGGGAACCGCAGAGCTGGAATAGGAACCCAGTGCCCTTTCTGCTTCTCTTAAACCAGTACACACTCTGTGCAATTCTCAGTCTACCTTAGAATTTCCCTTTGTTCTAAGCACAGTGGGCTGAACATCTGGATTCTGCTAGCCATATACTTCAGTCCTCACTTGTGCCCTGGGTCAAGGATGACAACTTTAAAGTGTGGATGCAGGCATGCCCTTTAATCCAAGAGGTGTCTTGGTGGTTAGGATTGAGAAAGCTGGCCTCCTAGTCTTTTGGTCAACCCTTCTCCAGGGCTTCTGTGCCAGAATCAGGAAGAAACCACTCACCTGTTTCCCCTAAACAGCCCAACCCAGAACTGCTGGCTGAGACTGGTTCCTGCTGGCTGGTGTGTAATAGGCCCTGACCTGGGTGGCTGCTGTCTGCTGATCTCTAAGCAGTTTGGTAAAGTAACCCAAGTTGTCATTGGAGGACAAATTTCACTTCAAGAGTTTTACAGCTGGTTATGGGGGCTTACACCTGTAATCCCAGCAACTGGGGAGGCTGAGGCAGGAGGATCTCAAGTTTAGGTCAGCCTTAGCAACTTAGCAAGGCCTTCAGCAATTTAGTGAAATCCTGTCTCAAAATTGAAAGGGCTGGGGATGTGGGTTAGTGGTTAAGCACTCCTACATTCAATCCCTGGTACCACCCCCCAAAAAAGAATTTCCCATGTTTCCGGCATAAGAGATCTCAGAGATGGAGTCTAATCTACCCCAGTGCCTAGCCCAGTGTAGGTGCTCAGTAGTTTTTAATGAATAAAAAGGGAATGAATAGAAGGATGATCACAATAAAGGACGGCTGCAGTGGCAAGTTTTATTTTTGGAAAGTGTGATTCCTTCATTGCTGAGTTTCCTATCTGTGTCCTTGGCTCATGCCAATGTTCCCTCTGACTCATCCCCCACCCTCATCAGTGGGGAACTTTAGGCCTTCAGTGGTCTCGTCAGCCCTATTTTTTTTGTGGTGCTGGGGTTTGAACCCAGGACCTTGTGCATGTGAGGCAAGCACTTTACCGACTGAGCTACATCCCCAGCCCTCATCAGCCCTATTTAAAAAAAATAATATTTAAAATGTCTAAATTAAGGAGTATCACACCACAATCCTTGTATCTCTTTGTCTCCCTCCTCCACCCCTATAGATAACCACTTAGTTTCTTCTTTATCTTTCTGGAATCTCTATGCAGATACATATATTCTTATCCTCTCCCCTTCCTATACAAAGGCGGCATATGGAATACACTGGCATCACCCTAATCTTCATTACCAGTTCTCTCTCTGAGCAAGGGAGGTAGAAACCAACCCTGACCAACATGGTCCTGAGCTCTTAAATGAAATTGCCTCATTCAAGGAAGGATAGGATTGAGAATGGGTTTAGGGTAGCAGTCTTTCCCTCTTGTCCTCTGTGCCTCTAGGTCACTTTCATTTCCCCACAACCCTGAGTAGGCTGTTGGGTAGGGGAGACAGCAGCCCCCTGGGCTGCCCTGGACTCCCATCTCATCTCTCTCCACAGGCAGTTTCTAAACCGGGATGACATTGGCATCATCCTCATCAACCAGTACATCGCAGAGATGGTGCGGCACGCCCTTGACGCCCATCAGCGCTCCATTCCAGCTGTCCTGGAGATCCCATCCAAGGAGCACCCCTATGATGCTGCCAAGGACTCGATCCTGCGCAGGGCCAAGGGCATGTTTACTGCAGAAGACCTGCGCTAGGGGACTCCCCCCGGCCCTGTAGCCCCTTGCTTGTTGCCAGGCCTCTCCCAGGCTTGCCATCCTTTGTTTCAAGCCTCTGGTTTTCAATTCCCACTCCTTCCCCACTCCACTGAGAGGCTGGGTGAGGTGTTTGTAGGCTCTGCCATTAAAATCCAGGCTGGTTAGGGAACAGGAAGCCCAACCATCTTCTCTCTCCATTACTTCTTCCCTGTGCTGATACATGGTGTCGTTATTGATGTTAAATTAAAACAATATTCTCGCTTCTCTTCATATGGGGTTGGGTGCTGGAAAGAACACATGTAGGGTGAGGCTTCTGGGGGAGATTAGATTGGCAAGGATGGAAAAAGTTCTGCCAAAGAGCCAGGCAGAGGAGTTGGACCAGGATGGAGGCTATAACGAGGACTAACTTTCTGGATCAAAGAGGACGAGGGAAGGGGGTCTGGGCATGGCTGAGCCTAGTCCCTGGTTCCCCCTGCCTCAGTCTGCATGGGGTGAGGAGGGAGCCTGATCCAAGGGACAGAAGCAGAAAGCACAGGAAACCTGGAAGCCTGTAATTCTAGACTGGGTTTTGATCCTACAGGAGTTTTGGGGTGAAGGTTTTTAACCTTCCAGGTTGTTGGAAGGGAGGCATGTGAGGTCCACTGAAGGCAGGGCAAGTAGAACCCTACCCTGTGTGAGGTGAGGCTTGGTTGCCAAGTGACTGTCCCAGGGAGCCATCTGCTGTCAGAAGAACTCTGCTTGCTGTGTTCACCCCTTAGCTGCTCATTCCTTTGCGCCATGGCACGGCAGCTCAACTTGGACACAGTGTGGCAAAACTTCTGGAAGGAGGAATATCTAAGGGAGAAGATGTTGCGCTGTGAATGGTACCGCAAGTATGGGTTATTGGTGAGGGCCAAGCAGAAGGCTAAGGTTGCAGCCCGTCTGCCCCTCAAACTGCCCACCCTGACACCCAAGGCCCGAGTCTCACCGCCACCTGTCCCCAAAGCAGTCCCTGCCAAGCCCCCTAGCCCTGTCTCTGAGGCTCCTTTTCAGACAGAAATGTACCCAGTACTGCCTGCAACTCGGGCTCTGCTGTATGAAGGCATCTCCCATGACTCCCAGGGGCGCTATCACTACCTCAACACTCGAAAACTGGACGTGCCAGAGAAGCGCTACCTCTTCCCCGTCACCACCAACTTCACATATGGCTGGCAGCTGGGTGAGCCCCAACCTTGTGGAAATTAATTACAAACAGAGCACTTGCCATGGGCCAGGGAGCAGACATTGTAATGGAAGGTCAGACTACAAACAACAAGGAAATGTCCAGGGAGGACAAGTTCTTGGGTGTGGTGGGGGACATGTGTTTCTTTAGACTGAATTATCCAGAAAGGCCTTTCTGAAGCCCTCAATGCTGAGCAAGTGGCAAGAAAGGGGTTTGGATTTTATTCTAATTGGAGGAGGGTTTTAAGAAGATCAGTGCTTTTTAAAATAATTTTTTTTGTAGTTAATAGCTTTTCAGGGGAATTTATAGGATCTGGCAGGTGAATTAGGCATCTGTTTTGAGTTATCTAGGCAAGACATGATGGTGGCTTCAGATAGAGGGATTATTAGCAGTAGAGCTGAAGCCAATTTGGAATGTTTGGGAGGGAGACATGGATGGGTTGACTGGGAGGGAAAGGAAGAGAGACCAGTGGCAACACCCAGATTGGAAAAGGGTAGGGCTGGAGGGTCTTGAAGACAGAATGGGCTTGGCCATGGTAGGCTTGAAGTGCCAATGAGGCTGGACATCAGGATGGAGGAATATCTGGAAGGAGAAATATCTAAGGGAGAAGATGTTGCGCTGTGAATGGTACCGCAAGTATGGGTTACTTGCAGTACCATTCAGGATGGAGAAAGTCTGGACATCAGGATTGAGGTCAGAGTTGGAGAAGTAAATTCAGGGCTTACTGGAATATAAGTGTAACTTAAAGCCCAGAGATGGGGTGAGGTCACCTGGAGAACTGGAGTTGCTGAAATCTGACTTGAGGGTGGAGTCAGGCATAGGTGGAAATGGTGTGGCAGAAAGGCTGTCTGCTCCCTAACCCCGGCTCAGTTTTGGTTTTCCAAAAGTGCTGCTGGTTTGCTGGGTGGTGTTGAGAGCCACTAATCTCAAGAGAGATCACTTAGTCCTGGATCTTTTCCCAGCTGTTTGAGAGCCTGTGCAGGAAAGGTGGGTGGTGGGGGGTCAGTACAGTTGAAAGTTTACCCAAAAAGCTCCCACATTTCCCCTAGGACCCTAAGAGAGAAGTAAGGGGAGCAGAGGTAGAAGGCCCCTTCTCTGCAGTCTATCCTGGGACAAGCAGGGCTGGCAAGGGATCCTGAAGCAGGGGATGATGATGGCTGACAGCTGTCAGGTCATGTTGCCACTGGTGCAATGTCCAGGATCCAGCCTGTATTTTCCTGAAGTGCTACTCCTCAGAAGCTTTTTATTTATTCACAAAAAGTAGATCCAACACAGGCAGAGTCTTAGTGCTATGCAGACAAGTTAGCTTCTGTGCTGAGTTCCTTCCCCAGGAACTCATTCCTGGCCTCTGACATTTTTTCCCAAGGTACCCCAGCAAAGCAAGAACTGGCCTCCTGCAAGATGTGCCACATAGAGTCGTTCTTCCGGAAGAATGGGGCCTTTTCAATGCTGGATCCCCGGGATCTGGCCCTCTGACCTTTAGCCCGTGGGAGGCACGGGAAAAAATAACAGGCCTCCTGGTAGGGCGAAGCTGCTTTGTGTTTCTGGTCTGCTCTCCCTGGCCCTGAAGCTGCGTTCTAGGCCTTTCTGACCTGGCGGTAGACGTCTTTGCCTTTTCCTTAACTCCTATCTCCTTAATTATCCCTTCAGAGACCCAGCAATGCCCAGAGCCATCGGAAAGTGTGGGCGCTATTCTTCAGGTGCAGGCTTCTCAACGCCAGGGGGCCACAGTAGCTCCTGGAAATTCCGGGTATTCCTGGGGAGACAATGGTCTGTCATCCAGATGCCAGGGAAAAGGGACTCTATCACTCCCCCCAAAGTTCCCTGCCACCCCCCCCCACACACACACCTGGTCCTGAGCGCCCGCAGCCACCGGGTCCTTTCCAGGTGCACTTGTTCTAGCTGCTTCCGCAGTGCGCTCCACCGCCCGGTCACGTCCTCCTAGGTAGGCAGATGGCTGAGCCGATGTCACTGGCCAGGGTAGCAACTGCATCACACACCCGCCCCTCCGGCGCTCCGTCCCTCCCCGGGCCAGGTCCGGAGGGACCCGCCGCCTTCACCCCGGGCTCTTCTTGCCTGTGGCGGGAGCTGAGCCGGGCTGGAAGGGAGCCCCAGAGGGTGAACTCGGCAGTGGCGGTGGCTGGCGATGCGGAGCCGTTCCAAGACCTGGAGAGGCGGCAGTCAGCTCGGAGCCCTGCCCGCCTGCCCGCCCCAGGAGACTAGGTCGGCCCCGCGAGGGTACGCACCCGGAGCCGCTGCTGCTCGCGTTCCTGCCGCCGTCGCCGCCTGGCCGCGCCATGCAGCTCCAGCAGCCGCTGCAGAGCCATCTTCTGCTGCGCCGCGCTCACGCTCGCCGGCGCCTTCTCCCCGCCCAGGGGCCCAGGCCACGCAGCCTTCGAAGCTTTGGGTCCCCCAGGAACGCCCCTAAGCTCCCGGAGCGCGCCCGGGAGCTTCACCTCACCCACCTCCTGCTCCGCGGGACGGTGGCCTCCTCCCTGGGTAGCCTGCTGCCCACAGCCCTCGGTGCTTAGTGCCGCCAGCATCCCACCTCCTGGGCCTGTGAGTTGTTGTCGGGCCAGGGACCTGGGGTCCAGGAGAGGAGCCCACGCCCCATCTCGGGCGGCCCCTGGCTTTATCACGGCCTCGGCCGCTTTGTGACTCCGGCCTTCGGGCTTGGCCTGCATTCGCTGGGTGGTTTTCCCCCAGCGGCCTGGACTCTCCCTTTCCCGAGCCCTTACAGGCGCTTCTCCCTGAGTCACCTCCCATGCTTGTGAGAGAGGGGCTTCCCAAGATTGAAGGGTTTTCATTTCCTGACCCTGCCCAATCTCCTTTCTCTGGCACTTAGGGCTATTTCCTCTTTGAGGGATTTCTTTGTTCTCATCCTGGGGTGCCTCCCCACTCTGACCCTGGAATGTCTTCTCTCTCTGACTCTGAGATACTTCTCTGTTCCCCCACTGGGAGGTGTCCCCTCGCTGACCCTGAGGTGTCTTTTCTGTCTGGCCCATAGGGTCCTCCTGTCTCTGACTCTGAAGAGGGTCCAAACTCAGCAGTTTCTGAGTTTCTCTCTCCTGACCTAGGCCAGAGCCCAGCCCCTGTGGGGTATTTTGGGGTGCTGGCAGGCACTGCAAGGCCAGGACAGAGGGCTCTGAAGCTTTCTGTGTCAGTTTTCTCCCTGGCCAGCTCTGTAGGTGGGGCCTCTGCATCGCTGGTGCTGGCTCCTCTTGGCTCCTGTCTTCCCTCTCCAGATCCTGGGAATGAAAAGCACTTTGGGTCCAGGCTTGAGAGGGAATCCCCAAGCCAGGGCCCTTCCCCTAGAAGAACCTGGAGACCCCAGTGACTAGTCCTTGCCTGATTGCTGAATTTACTAAACCTCTTTTATGTGGTGTAAGAGGTGCTTCAGCAATGATCCCTTTTCCCATTTGGCTGCAGGAGGCAGCTCCACTTCATCCCGCAGCCTCCTCCCTGGAAAGCTCTATTTCTGCTGTCCCAACCTGAGAGAGTCCTGGTCCAGAGTCCACAGAGCTAGTGGTGGTAGGGTTCAGCTCTTTTAAGTGACCTAAGAGAGAAGGATCAATGTTGAGAGCACTCCCTTCTCATGTCCCAGCTTCTCACACACATTCCCCCCTGAACTGTAACCTGGAAGCCTAAGGGGCTCCTAGTGCATGAAGGACCATGGAGCCCTGAGAGTGCTGCTTGAACTTCATGGCTGTCACAGTTTATTATTCCATGTTTATTCCCATTACCTGCCATGCATCTGCTTGTCAGGTGTGCCTGCTAACAGCCAACTCCATCTCCCTCATCCTCCCAGCCAAGGCTGGCCACTATGCAATGCCTGGGAGTGAGAAAGGCCTGTTTGCCGGTGCTCCCTCTGCATAAGGATATCCCCATTTTGTCCTGGTGTGTGTGTTCAGGTTCACAGAAGAAACCCACTGTGTGTGCCATGATTTTTCCTGTTGTTAAAATCCTCCTTAACCCCTCTCCTTTTTTTTTTCTTTCTGGCAACAAAATAAAATGAAACTTAAGTAAAATTTTAAGCCAGAGCGTGGCCTAAAAAACTGCAAGTCTTCATAATGAACAAAGAAATCTAAAAAAGGGATGTGCTGTCACTGCTCCTGCAGCTGTGGAGGAAGGAGAGATGTTCTGCATCCATAAAACTAATTGAAGGAACCTGCTTTCATAAGTATTAAAAACCTTTCACAAGAATATTGCATTTTTCTCTGGTAAGCAATGCAGAAACCTGTGAATATTCATAACAGTAACCAAAGGGGTGTGGTTTCTGTGGAACTAGATCTGAATTTCAAAGGGTTTTGTGAACAAAGAAGTCTCAGGAGAGACTTCAGAAATGATTGCTGCAGAACTGTGAAAGCAGCCTCCTACACCTGTCTCTGAGATGCTCACCTATTGTATTCCTAGAGTTTATTTCCCAGGTAATAGTGTAATTGACATCTCTGTCTTCCCAAGAGATAAAATACTTGTAAAAATTTATCTGTCAATCAGGAGAGAATCATTGGCAGTCCTCTTCTTTCATGTGTGTGATGGGACAACTAAAAGTTTATGACTTTGCTATTATTGTTTAACAAATAATTTAAGTCTGTTTCCTTTAAATTAACAGGCTCATGCCCACAGTGTCCATCCCATTGAATTCTAATTGCCTGTTTAGAGTCATGCTCTATCACTGGGCTTTGATCTCAAAGACTCAAGGTATCTATTGTTCTCCATATGTCCCCAGTGCCTGGTATAAGGGTGGCAAACAGGTGGCCTAGAATTGCTATTCCTCTTCCTTCTCCCTGGGCAGTCAATGATGGTCATTTCCTGCCCACTCAACAGAGCCCCAGTTAAAAACCCTAACGGGCACAGCATCTGAGACAACTGGTGCCAGTCAGGGAATTGGCACATAAAATTGACTTGCCATCCCTGGGCACCCAATGAAAGGTGCAAGATGCAGAATAAGTGAAAAATGATGGAAGTCTTTGGACTTGGAATGAGAACTTCTCTGCTCCCAATCTAATCTGGTTTCTCCAACTTCAGGGGCTCCCTGCTATCTTGGCTGCCCATCACGTCCTGTCAACATACCAGGTGTGGCCTCTGTAGGTATGCCAGGGCCCTCCCATCTTGGGTCTGCATCTCTCCCAGCTTCACCCAGATCCACGGCAGATGATGGGTCTGCTGTCTGCATCCTGCAGGATTTAGGGGCTACCTCAGAGGCACCTCCAGCAGCCCCATAGTTGCTGGAGAAAGGAGGGAGCTTGCTTCAGTCTTCCTAGTCCCCAACACCCCAACACCCAAACTCTGAGTCCAGGCTGGCCTCCTCTAATCCCTAAACCCATTGGATTTTGGAACTGGAATTCTGAGGTTACCCTTCCAGGGGCTGTGGAGCAGGACTGTGGGAGGAGACAGGGGGAAAAGGCCAGGTTCTTGGTCACTTTGTATGTCAACAAGGGAGTGCCAGAGTCCCTGGGAGAAAGACTTACCCCTCTGGGAACTGATGGTTCTGGCTCAGGGAATCCCTAGTTTGGGATGAAGGCGACAGCCTGGAACTCTGGAAAATTTTGGGGAGCTCAGGACACAGGGCATCATCCTTTAGTGTGGTAGTCAGCCTCTAAGATGCTCCCTGCCCCCCATAATCCTTGTCTCCTGGTGTTCATGAAGTGGACACATAAGTGGCCTTATGTGTCCCCTTTCCCTTCCCATCCACTGTAGAGAGGCTACCAACAGGCCCAAAGCTACTCTGGCAGCTGGTGGCTGAGCTGGGACTGGGAAGTACATCCTCAGTTCTTAGCTCTGTTCTGGGGTCCTCACCACAACATCCCCCTCCTGGAGGGTCAGCACAGCTCTAGCCCTGGAGGGAGCCCCCCACTCAGCAGGGGCTGCTCAGTGTGTTTGTCTTAGTGCTACCCTAGACACCAGTGCCTCTGCCCTCAGGGACCCTTCCAGGCACAGTTCTCCCTCACACAGTCACATGGACAGGCTTCCCAGTGTCACTGCACAGTTGATTTGACAAGCCAGTAGTTAGCTATGGAATAACACTAGTCCCCATAAGTATCAAGAGGTTCAAACCCCTTGTTTAGATGAGTTCACTGGTCCTCAGAGAAAGATCTGCCATTGTCCACATTTTACAGCCAATGGAGGCTCACAGTTCACAGGGAGCATCAGAGCAGAGCTCTGAATCCAGGGCTGTTAGTCTCTAAAGCTCAAGCATCTTCGTGACCTTGAGGGGGTCACACCACAACCACCCCAATGTCACACAATGTCTCTCTCCACTCACCAGCTGCTCCAAGTCCCTGCCAATCCTGCTACTCACCTGGCTGTGCTGGCTCCATGCACGCTGGGCCTGGTCCCTCCAACCACCAAACTGGGTCCAAGGGGCCCTGAAGAGGCCCAGCCCTGCTCCAGTCAGAAGATTCAATTCCCAGAGGAGCTGCAGGAAGGTGGACAGCCAGAGTGTGAGGGGCACCTAGCCAGCCCTCCCCACCCCCATGGTCAGCCCCTACCTGCTCCTGGGCCCACCGGCTCCGCTCCATCTCCAGCAGTACTGTGGTTAGCTCCATCCCTGGGGGACAGCCCTGGCCCTCTTGCACCTGGTGGGGATGGGAGGGGAGGTAGAATCAGGCTCCTGCCTGCACCCCTTGGCAATATCTGGCCTCCTCACCTGCCAAAGTGCAGTCCGGAGCTGGCCTAGGCCTGCAGGGTGCCTGAAGATGAGGTAGTACAGGGCCAAGGCCTGCTTGGGACTACAAGGGAGCCCTGGGCTCCCAGGTATAGTTGCCTGCGCCATGGGACAGGGGTTAGGGCAGATGCCCCCTCCTTCCTCTGCCTCTGCCATCAGAGCCTGGAGAGAGATGGAGGATTGGGCACTGAGGACCAGGAGCAAGGAGAAACAAAGACTCTGATCTCAATAATTCAGGGCCGACTGATACCTGAGCAGGGCCTGGGGCATAGGAGCCTTACAGAGACTCTGGCCTGACTCCAAGACCACTTGGAGGTAGCAGAGTACAGTGCAGAGAGTGACCCTGACAGAAAGAGGTGTGTGCATGTGCTCATTTGCAACCCCCAGTGAGTATCAGGTTCACATATATACAGGTTAACATCCACGTGAACGTTCAAACTGTGATGTGTGGTACAAATGTGTTTAGGATGGGCAGCGGTGGCAGCACATGTGGATACCTCCTCAGCAGCTCCATGAATAGGTGCTATTGTCCCAATTTACAGATAAGAAGCTCTGAATCCAGGGCTGCACAGTGGCACATGCTTATATTCCCAGCTACTTGGGAGGCTGAAACAGGAGGATAGTAAGATGGAGGCCATCATCAACAACTTAGTGAGATCTTGTCTCAAAATAAAACAAAGAGCTGGGATATGTGGTTCAGGAGAAGAGTGCCCCTGGGTACAGTGATCCCCAGTACTGGGGTGAAAGGGAAACTGGCTCTGGAGAGTAACTTGCTTTAACACGTGGTAGTGTTTCCCCTGCCTATGAAGACAGACAACCACAGTGACAAACACTCTGGGGGCACATGGCTCCCAGGAGGCAAGGCATCCATCACTAAGAGGTGTGACAGTAAGAGGCACAAAAATGGCCCATCATCACCTGCTAAGTGCTGTCCACAGGCCACCCCATGGACTCCTCCCAACATGCACACAGACACACAGACACTCACACACACACACACACACACACACACACACACTCACACACACACACACACATACACATTGCTGTCATGTTACAGATGAGGAAACCATTTGTATAAGTTATAATGAGAGGGACTGAATGCAGGAGGCTATCTGGGCTAAAGCTGGGATGTTGAATGTTCCTCAAAGGCCTATGTGTACAAGGCTTAGTCGCCAGGATCACTAGTGGGAGGTGCTGTGGACCTATAGGACCTCCTGGGAGGGCCTTAGGTGTACCTTTGATGGGGTTGGGGGAATTCTGCTTCCTCCTGTTTCCCAGCTCACGTTGGGAGGGACCAGGCCCAGCGTGCAGTTGGCTCTGACACACATTCCCCACCATTTAGATCCAGTGCTCTTACCAGAAGCTCAAAACATGGGGTCACCGATTTCAGATGTGAACCCCCAGAACAATGTGCCAAAATAATTTTTTTTTTCCAGTACTGGGCATTGAACCCTGGGTTCTACCATCAAGCTACATCCCCAGCACTTTTTATGTTTTATTTTGAGACAGGACTTCACTAAGTTGCTGATTCTGGCCTTGAACTTGTGATCCTCCTGACTCAGCCTCCTAAGTAGCTGGAATTGCAGGTATGAAACATTGTGTCTGGTA